TGAGTACTGCGGGGTAGACTGTGCCGCAATACAGCTAAGTGCTGTGGGATAGACTGTGCCGCAATATAGCTGAGTACTGCGGGGTACACTGTGCCGCAATACAGCTGACTTCTGTGGGTTACACTGTGCTGCAATACAGTTGAGTACTGCGGGTTAGACTGTGCCGCAATACAGCTAAGTACGTACTGTGGGTTATACTGTGCCGCAATGCAGCCGAGTACTGCGGGCTAGTTAGACTGTGTCGCAATACAACCGAGTACTGCGGGTTAGACTGTGCCGTAATACAGCCGAGTACTGCGGGCTAGTTAGACTGTGTCGCAATACAGCCGAGTACTACGGGTTAGACTGTACCGCAATACAGCCGAGTACTGTGAGCTAATTAGACTGTGCCGCAATACTGCTGACTACTGTGGGTTATACTGTGCTGCAATACAGTTGAGTACTGCGGGTTAGACTGTGCCGCAATACAGCTAAGTACTGTGGGTTATACTGTGCCGCAATGCAGTTGAGTACTGCGGGCTAGTTAGACTGTGTCGCAATACAGCCGAGTATTACTGCGGGTTAGACTGTGTCGCGATACAGCCGAGTGCTACGAGCTAGTTAGACTGTGCTGCAATACAACTGAGTACTGCCGACTGCGGGTTAGTTAGGCCGGCCGCAATACAGCTGAGCACTTACGGCGGGTGAGTGATACCGTAGTGAGGTAAGTGCCGTATCGCAGGGGGCACTGTAAGTTGATGCTAACAGAGGCACACCCGGTACCTACTGGATCGGGATACAGAGTCGAATCGAACGAAAGCGCCTCACCCAGAGTAAGGCCAACGGCCTATGTATCGCCAGAGGCCCATGTGTCTACTTAGCCTCACGAGTTGTTCGTGCGTTATCAGAGGGCCTTATGTTGATGGGGAGCCATGTGTCCCTATCGATCTCTGTCGCGAAATGTCTGTGGATTTCCTGGAGTTCTAAAGCGATAAACTTTGTGTCGGCAGAAAAACACGCATAATCTTTACATCTGTATGGATCGTAAAGCATCAATTGTAGACAACCTCTCGTGTGTGGGAGGACACACTAAATTTGGTCGCACCTTTTTTTAATTTACAGAAAAGATTAACCATTGTCCTCCGATATCAGTCCTCCGTAACTTTGAGCTTATTGGCCAGCTCAAGATAGGCCATCAAATGGTAAAATCGTAATCTACTCCGTTTAATTATTTTCGATGTCAGTTCGATGCCTTTTTCAGTATCGGAATGCTCCCAATACTCTATAATATCTCAGCCTAATTAGGGTCTTTGCGATTGCATCATCTTAATGCGCCACGCGTTGGCGATCTGTAGAGGTGGAATATCCTAACGGAAGCTGCCCACATGGAAATGAAAACTTTTGAAGTCACCACGGCTTCTTTAATTATTCACGTGTGCCTGAAGGCCTTGCATGGGTTACTTGTTAGTCTGTTCTGAACGGATCGGCGAACTTATGTCAAGCGCAGGGGTGAGATTTGCCACCTTGATCTGCCACCTTGATCTGTGGAAAATAATAAGTCAAGTTGTTTATGTAAGAAACGCTTTTCGCTACCAACCGGTGACAATGTTGTGAGTGGAGCATAAAACATTATGCGTTGAACAAAGAGAGAAAAAATCGTTGAGTTGGGGTGCAAGTTTTAAGTTAGATGAGGGTTAGGAAAACGCCTTCTGAAAGCTACTATTTTTATTTATCCATATCTAATAAAAACACAAATTACTTAAAGAAGAGAGACCATTGAAGCCTTCTGGCCATTGCTTCAACCTATTAGCTGTAAATATGGCCTTAATGGGCGACAAAATATTGACACTTTCCGTGAAATGCCCACGAAATGTTAGAGAAGAAACGACTGAAGAGCAGTGCCAACAATGGGCGTCTCTAGTGTCGAACAACGCATTGTCAGGACTCAGGACAGCTTCCATTTTTAAAGAGAAAAGAAACTGACACAGGGGACCGGAACGTTAAATCGTAACTCAGAAAAAAAGTTAATGAGAAGTTGATTGGCTGTTTTCCATAGTTATCTGTGTGAACTCTATCCGAATGTGCCCCATGCATGACTTCAATGGTATGTACGACTTTGGAGGAAACTGGATACAAAAAACAATCCGTATTGAAGATACCTATCGTCCCACCCACGCTCCGTATCGGCGGCACTCTGATAATTGTAATCCCGCGGTGAGATCCATCGCTCCTGGATGACTTAGATATGCTGCCAGCACTCTGTCCCTCATCGGTCAGCGCCGCGCTCCAGTCGGGAGTGATTGCAGCTGGAAAAGGTCGATGGCTCGTCGTGCCGACAGAGGTGTCCGTCTCTTCCCCCGGTCCACGTGTGAGCGATAGTGCACGCAAATAAAACTGCGCTGGTGTATCCGTCATGTCAACGAACATGACAGAGCATGGTTCGCATGAGTATTTTTAACATTGTTGTATATATGGTGGAGCATATGGTATCGTCCAATTTCATCATATATGTTGAAAGCATTTGGTATCCAAGCTCACTTTAATGATACTTTACTCACTTTACTGATATTAAGTAAATGGTGTCAAGTGTCAATCAAAATACACGTAGATATCGTATTTATTTTACTCATTTTTCCTTTTGCATTTTATTGCATTATCGCGTTACTATGGGGATTCTCCGAAAGGATTACTCTGAATAACATCGTACGATCTATACGGTAACACTACGATATAGATAGCTGAGATACAATCTCTTTCTAACGGCCTCTTAGAGGTACTTGGAAGCATCACTGTGCGCCGACTCGAACCTAATTTTCCGGAGACGGCGTTGGTTTTCGTCTCGGCCACCGTATACGGTGCGGTCCCTATTAGTCGACGCACCGGTGGCGTCTACAGCAGTGAATGTGATGACTGGTGTGCGCTAATCCGATCCTATAAAGAGCCGAGGAAGTCTGTGATGCCGGTGCGGGACAGTCCCGCGCCATCCCACCCTCGTGGGGGCCACGCCCCAGCACGTGCGGCGTATAGGCGCTGAGCGCTGGAGGTGACTGGCAGCACGCTGGTTTCCATGGGAATGATGGTTCTTACCATGGCAATGGAAGCTACCTGCGCTCTGGGGTTGACAAATGCCCACAACACAAAATTGCAGCCAATAAGCTTTGGTTTTCCTTTGCACAACTAATAACTATATTTTTTTATTCTCTCTTTGAGCAACTACATCTATTTTACTAGAAGTTATGGAAGATAATAGAACGTATTGTTTGGCAGAAACACTGGACACCTAACCCACGTGGAAAGTGCGCTACAATGCAGTCAGGACCAACTGCAATCTCGCGTTACAACCACGCTGGTCTCGCCTACGAGCCACCTGGGCCAGTGTGCCATGGTCGCTGTCTCCTCCACCCGCCTCCGCTCGCCACTGCAGAGCTTTATCTTCTCAAGGGCTGTTCCACTTTCAGGGAATCTCTTCCGAGCAGTTCATTCGTCGCCGTCGTCTGCAGCCGTCTGACGGGTCCGGTCGGAGGGGGACCTTCTCACCGGAGAAGGCTACCACGCTACACTAATCTGTCCCTGGGGACGGCCCGTAGACGCTCTGGGATTAATTAGCACCGGAATTTCACCACGGATTTCACCCGAGACGTCAGTGCAGAGGTCAAATGGGACATTTTGGCGTAGCGCCTGTTGTTTCCATGATATTTCTGTGCATTAAAATCTGTGGTTCTGTCCTAACTTTTGCTTTTCTATACTCTTCGTAATTCGCGATTTCGATTTCATCGTTAAGCCTTCAAGTGCAACTTCATTTAAATTTAAAAGGATTGCGATCTAGCATACGAAGGTAACGGAGGAGACTTGATAAAAAGTAGGTACACTGTGCAGCTTATGGTGGTTTACAATAAATGTATCTGTCACCTCCTGAAGTATTCGGAATTAATTGTCAATTATAAAATTGTATAGTGATAATAAAATCATGAAACACAGCTTTAAAAGACTTATTGAAGACTTGACGTGAGCACTACGACGCATACTAGAATTCCACTGAAAATGTCGCGAGTCCAACAAATCACACTAATGCCCAGTTTTCGGCTGCGGTGGCAGGCTCAGAACCGTGACCTATGGCGCTGAGTGACCGCGGGGACGTGTCAGGACCGGCGCCGGCGGTCATTTGACGCCAGTTATGAGCCATCGTTTGTATTCCGCCATGCCGATGTGGAGGCGTAACCCCAGGCGCAGTGGAGGTGGTCAAAATGTGGGGGCAGAGGAATGTAGTGGGAATGGACGAAAGCCGACATAGTGAATGGGAGAGGTATGGTGATGACCTCAGTGATGTTAGAAGTTGAGGGAAGACGGTGACAACTTGGCCAAAGGAAGAGTTCAGTGAGAAGAAAAGTAGCGAAAATATGTTTGAGTAATGTTTGGAGTGTTCCTTTGCTACTTGAGATGTGGTTGAAGATCGATTTGCTCTGTCCCTAATCACTCAAAGATTCCCACAAAATTATTTTCATTTATTTCGAAATACATAAGATAGATATAAGACATAGCGCATGACCACCAGGAAGAATAAAACTATGCAGTGATTCCACTTCATTCGCGCCATGCTCCCAGCACATGAAACGAATGGATCTTTGGCTATTACAGTATTACACAACACAACCAGTGGCACGGACTCCTGCGGCTCCTGGCATCCGATCAGGGAGGTGCCCGTAAAACAGGTCCTGATGTCACTCAGACGGTCACCCGACGTGACCGCGGCTCACGCCTGCTGGCACACATGACGTCATGTTTACCTGTGACGTCATACTTATGACCTGGCCTCGTTCGATCTGTCAGCGCATCTCAAAGCTAAAGTAGTGCTGTCACGCCAGTGCTTGTGCTTGCCGTTTAACGTCTGTTCATGTGAAATCTTGGGAAGTGTTGATTTGGTTCACCTTAATCTTTATTTGTCGAATGAAGTAAATAAAACACCTTTGCATGATACCTAGAGCGTCATAAATCATCTCAAACCTTTTCGTCAAAACATGATCAAGTTTCAAATCACATGGTTTATTGTTCAGTTTGTTCAGTTTCACGAGCTATGGCAATTCAATAACGCTTTTTCACGGTTGACAATCTGTTCAAGTTATTGAAAACGGTGACAGCCAGTACATGCCGTCATGAATTTCTGCCGTCGGCCACGAAGCGTGACGTCAGCACCATTCGGGGCTATGATTGGTGCTGACAGAACAAACGTATCCGCTATGCATAGAATGTGGCTGACGAGGCGCTCCGCTGGCTGTTGAACACGGCACGCCTCGTCTCGGCCCGGCTCGTCACCCCTAACGACGCCACGTGTTGATCCAGTGACGTCACTATGACGTCACAGTGGACGTCCTTCTGTACGGCTGCCGAGCCGGCCGGACCCGTGACGTCATACCAGCAGGTCAGAGGCGATGACGTCATGCCGCTGGTCGGTGGCCGGGATGGTTGGTAGTGACGTCATGACATGTAGGAGGTTGGCTTGTGGGTGGCCCTAGCGCCTCACGCCAGCAGAAGCGCCTGCGAGACAGAGACATGAGTCAGAGACAAAAACAGAGACAGAGACGTGAGACAGACAGAGACAGAGATGGGGCAGACATTGAGCGGAGTGGCGAGCGCAGAGATTCCAGGGGAGGAACAGCTCCTGAATAGAGGCTACCGACGGCCAGGGTCAGAGCATAGGGTTATAGGGGCAATGTACGTACACACATTCAAAAACACACTTTCAAAATGTCGCATTTATACTCAGAACTCGTTTTGGTGCCCATCCTTGCCCATGTGTAAGAAGTACAGACAAAAGCATACAGCATATGCGTGGTTATTGGAATATTTTTGATGATGTGAAAACGTTAAAGACTCTGTTTCGTTTTGACCGGATTCGAAGCAATGGCGAAAATGAGGCGTTCCTATTATATTACACGTATGCTTTTTTATTAATTCCAACCGCCCGCAGGCGTTCTTTGAAGATGTCGCTGCAGTGGACAAAATCATAAGCAAAAGAGGTTTACGTGAACTGACGACACAAAACAATATGTCGCGTTGAAGTGACTGACAGCAAAAGAGTTCGGTAAAACGTTTTTGTCATGCATGGTCAGAACTCTTCAGGCGCCGAATGTTTGCGCCGGTGACTGTCGCACTTTGATTGAATGTTTCTTTTCCAAGTTATTTGATTATTCTTGCTGGCTGGCGACTGTTTGCCAAAGCACAGCTAAAATAAGTCGTTTCTGCAGGAACTGAGATAACTATTATCGAGCTCGAAAACATTTGAAAAGAGTACAAGCAAAAGAAAAAGTGAGCTACGCAGATCTACTTAATTTACGCAATATTTTGCAAAGAACATTTGAACTATTTTGTCAGAAACATGTCGACATAATGAGGTTCCTGTTGTTCTGCCTACCAGCCGTTACCTCAATACATTTTAACAATGCAACCTATTCTTCTTCAACCATTTATGAATTCCGCGTTCTGACGATTTAGGTGTCATTATTAAGTGTATGCGTATGGCGCCAATGGTGTCTGTCTATAGTTTCACTTTGTTCAATTGCAGAATACCTTTGGTGAAGACCGTTTTCCCCACATGCCGTTGAGTTGTGTCCAATCTTTTCGTTTCTTCGCTTGTGTTTCACCAGAAGATACCTCGACTTCTGGCGATGGTTCGTAATGGCTTACAATAAACTTTTCTAAACGATCTGCAAGGAAAAATCGGGATGCACACTTACAACACATTCTACTAAAATTTGTCTCCTCTGGCAAAAAAAGGACGTCACTCAAATGTCAAAGCAGGTACAATGCTGCATGCATGCAGTTGTGTTCATGCATCATCAGAAAAGTAATATGGTACAAAAGTTAACGTATCTCCTTCTTGGCAAAAGCTGTATGTGCATTTGTTAACTCAGCAGCAGAGGAAAAATGTCAGGCTAAAATGAGCCCTGCACAAAAATAGTTAGGGCTTAGTGACGTGTTGAGGTTTCTGTAAAGCATTCCACTGACGGCCGTTACAGTAGCTCAGGGGTGTGCGCGGACCGCGGCTCCGTGGTGACTCACCCGCAGCCTCCTGAAGCTCTGGCGTCGACACGGACCGCTTGCCCCACGAGCCGCCGAAGTTGTTCCACGCTGACCGCTTGCCCCATCCGCCGCTGAAGCTGTCCCAGCCTTTCCTCTTGCCCCAGGCGCCGTTGAAGTTATCCCAGTTCTTCCTCTTGCCCCAGGATCCGCCAAAGTTGTCCCACTTTGCCCGCTTTTCCAAGGAGTCGTCGTCAATGTCGTCCCACTTGCTCCGCTTTCCCCACGATCCGCCAAAGTTTTCCCACTTGGCTCTCTTGCCCCAGGACGGGCCCATGTCGTTCCACTTGGACCGCTTTCCCCAGGAGCCAGCGAAGCCGTTCCACTTGGCCCCCCGCTTGCCCCAGGAGCCGGTGAAGCTGTTCCACTTCCTCTTATCCTCCGGCTCGTATGCAGATAACACCAGCCCTTTGGCGACCTCTCGCATCAACTCCCGGTCATCCTCGGGGTCTCCGGTGACCTGAAACGCAGAACGTGACCTCCGTTAGCCATTGGCAATGGCCTTCACCATCGAATGACTGAGGTAAATGGTACCACCTACCTACACAATGCACAGGTCCCGTTTCAGTGTGTTGTGTCACATATTTACTTCAAATGATGCTGGTTGAGCCATTATTATTTGTTGTTTTCATTACTGTTGAAATAATTATAGGCATTCCGTAGAAGAGTTCCTGGAACAATGCATAGATAAGTACCAGTGTCAAACATGATCAGACTGTACTGTTATTATATATCACAGACCAACATGCCTACATTGTCACTAAGAACTCGCAAAAATGTTAACAAATCTGCTGACATTCAGCGATAAGATCCGCATGTAGTGTGTGGTTATTTACATCACTGCCGTTGATCAAAATGTCAGTGTAATTCAATAAGCATGGTACAATTTACAGGTCATTTTGCCCGCATTTGTTTTTTCGTTGGATTCCCGAAGGCGTTTCAATGATTCTTGTTAGAGTGCATTATTTATGTTCCCCGGATCGCCGACAAACCGTAATTGCTAGTTACTCCTGTCCTTGGGGATGGGGCATGTAGGGAGATCAGGGAATTCTTGTATCTCGGGAATAGACGCTGGGAGCCTGGCATGGTGGGCAGGACTTCTAGCTCTCAGTACAGCATCGTTCCTTTGGCGAGGTTCATCACACCCATGCAGCCCAACCCAAACAAGGAACGCCTTCGGGAATCCAACGAAAAAACGCCCACAGCTTGGCGCGCGGCACAAGGAACGCAGCCAGCTAGCGGGCGTTGTGCTATGCGGTACAGCATACCTCGCAGGCGTCGCCGACAACGCCATCTAACCGAAGGATAGTCAGCTCATAGCGCTACGGTTCCTCTTGGAAATGTTACATCATTACTGCGTGAGTGGTTCCTTTTCTTGGACATCATGATGTAAATTTATTTTTTATAGTGCTTGTGGGGTCGCAGTCAAGTTATGTGAGCGCTTGAAGCTATCTCAGGCAGTCTACGATGTCTAGGAGTGCAAGCGTAGCTGACCAGTTGCTTTGACAGAGTGATGCAATTTGAGCATCTCGTAGCATGACATATACCCCCGCCAGTCCTGAGCATAATAAATTAGTGGGCTCATCTACTTGAGCTGGCAACAAACAGCCAGTGTTACACTAGACGCCCTAGCCGATCTCGAGTAAAGGACTGTCCCTACAAGATAGCGTCAAACGCCCACAGCTTGGCGGCGCAGCGCGCAACAGAGAGAGCTTCCGTTTGTAATTCAGGTAAGCCTATTTATCACGCTTCAACACGCCTCACATATTCAGACTTCTACCAGGATCACACCACCGATACGCAGCGCATATGTACACATGCGAGCATTGTTTCTTCTCTGAATACCGTGTAACACATGACAAATGTCGCATATCAGCGCCTAAGAACCGATATACTCAGCCAGATATGTTCGGGTATCAGCCAGTGTGGTACAGGACAGGTGAGTGCTGATGTGCCGTCTCTGGCCGTTAATGGTGGGAAATGCCAGCTGTCCCGCGCTCATAGACACAGAGAATGTATGGGTATCGCAGAGAGACGGACAGGTAGCGGTATGAGACCGGGTCATTGCCCGCAGATGAGACTTTTTCAGCTTTTATATCGGCATGAGTTCTCAGCTGGTCGGATCATTAATTTCTATCTGTGATGAAGGGATGCAAGAATGTCGAATCACTTAACGATATGTTTTAGGATAGTTTACCTTTGTCTTGTCAGAGAAGCCTTTTGTTATTTTTCCATGTTAATGTTTTATCTTTCAGCACCTTCATGTACATCCTTGAACATCAGGATTGTTATCATCTGAACTGAGTTCGAAAGACTTGTTTTGAACGCGATGCAATTTGCTGTGTCGGACTGTGCAGAAGGTTGTGTCGTTCAGCTTCGCAGTTTTTTTTTTTTTTTTTTTGACGGTTCTGCGACACCTGAGCGAACGTCATTTCAGCGAACGACATTTGAGCGAAACATTTTCAGCGATTATCAATTTAAGCGATTGGCTTTTTCAGCGATTGTCAAGTCGGCGAATTCAATCACAGCGATTATCAACTTTAGCGAGGACCAGAATAAGCGAGTCCAGATTGAGCGAACATATGGTGGTCAGTGGGAGACCAGTTGAGCGATGCAGTTACAGCGAATGACCGAACGCGACGAAAGTCAATCATTTGCTACTTTTCGGAAATTATTGCACCTCTTTACGTATCATTTGAATTTTGAAGAAACATAGTACATTGGACGACCAACAAGGGGTGCATGGGAGGGGAAGGAGGCGGGCAAAATTTGAATTGAAAATGCGGAACGTGAGAGATAGGGCGACGGAAGGAATGTCAAGGACCAATAACAAACTACATACGAGGGGGTATCGAAAAGTTCTGATCATCGCATAGAAGATATAGACCGATTTTGATAATTTTTGGTTTGTATTATATTTGGTTCTCAAGAACAATGTTCCCGCAAAGAAAATCCTGAGAAGTGGTTTTATCTTATGTAGGAGAGACTTAGAAATAAAAAAGATGAGTATTGGGCCCATTGAGGACCGAACCGTCATCCAACCAATGCATTTGACACGGTATCACATTGAGAAAATACATCAAGAACGTGAAATAAGTTCATGGCGAGGAAAGCCCATCTCATGCACTTACCGGAAATGAAGAAATAGTTTTCAACTTGGTTGCATGGCCTTTGCAGGGGAGTCAAGAAGTGAGTGACTACCAGTGACTGACAAGGTGGTGACTGTGAAGGAAGTGGAGGACCTCATCCTTTCAGATCGTCGTGTGACCTTTCAGATGATTGTGCAACAGAAAGGTCTCAATGCTGGCAGTGCCAGAAAATATTATCAGCGAAGAACTACAGACGACAAAGGAGTCAGCCCGCTTAGAAGTTCGTGTGTCTACTTTGTTCAAGAGAAAAAATGCGTCTTGGCCTTTAGAAACGAAAACTAGACATTTTTTAGGAAATTGAAGACATCTTTGATCATTTGATGACTTGTGACGAATGCTGGGTCTATGTGTATGATCCAGAGACAAAAAGATGATCAGGAAGTTAAAGCACGGCACATCTGTCCTTCTTAAAAGGCGAAGATGCAGAAGCCGATATGGAAGGTCAATGCTATCAGTGTTCTGGATCTGGTGTAGGATAGTCATTACCGACTGTCTTGATGATGGTCGGATAATGATAAGCAAGCACTACTGCACACTTTTGAAGAAGTTGCAAGATTGCCTCAAGCAGAATCGCCGCAAAAAAGCCCAAGAAAGATGTTTACCCTCACCGACAGCGCCCCCGCCCATTCGTCCTGAGCTGCGATTGAAGGAACAACAGGATGTGGACATTAAATCCTACCGCATCTAACAAATTCACCTGACCGGGTATTAACTGACTATTGATTGTTACGGGAGATGAAGAATCCACAGTATGGCCGGTGATTTAAGGACAGAAATGACGTCATTGATCAGGTGAAGCAGTGATTTACGGGACAGTGCGAAGGTCCTACAATGACCGCCTGAGGCAGTTCAAGAAACGGTGCAATAAGTTTGCGGTCGTGTGTGGTGACTTGTGAAGGAGTAATGAACATTATGTAAAGAAATCAAATTTCTATCACATCTAATTCATGGTGATGATCAGAACTTTTCGATACCCCCTCGTAGAGAGATGGCACAGGGGAATCCAGTCTATGTTTCAGGGACCTCACCCAAATATCTGGAAATTCGTACGGTGCTTGGGGCAAGAACAAATTTTACAACATGGGGAACTGATCCAACTTCAAGCGGGGCAATTTCGCGAAAAAAAAGCACAAGCAATATTGATCTCTGAACAAACGTTTGGTCACCATTATTGACAAAGAGCAGGGTGGGTTAGGGGGGGGATGAAATTGAACCGTTGGAATTTTTGACAAATGTAGCATTAAAATTGGAGCTCAATGCCTGACCTTTGAACGCGCGACATCCGCCATCCAGTACCGGATAACCATGAGAAATTCCGGAAACATTCGTACGCATACGCTCGCAAAAGAAAAAAATCCACCGTTACAGGACGATGAAGTGTTTCGCTGAACTGACAGTCGCTCAAATTGTAGTCGACGAAATATATGTCGCTGAAACATAGCTTTCGCTAAAATTGATAATCGCTATATTTGATAATCGATGAACTTGATAATCGCTGAATTGCCATTCGCTGATAATGGTTCGCTCAAATGACGTTCGCTCAAATGACACTCGCTAAAGTCGCTCGCACCGTTTTTTGACAGCATAGAAAAGAGTCAGTTTTGTTACCGTGTCGAATTGAGCCCTCTTAGGATTGCAAATGACTTTGTATCGTTCATTAGTGGATTTGTATATTATACTTGAATTGGAATAAGTTATCTGCTGTCACTTCTCAAAAATACTTTCAACCAATTTATTTTCAAAAGATATCCGGCTTAAAGTACACATAGGTTGAGTCCCTCTCCACTTTGCCCAGACGCTAGGGCCTGAGCTGACTTGCTGGAAAATTGTAAATGTCTTTCTGGTGTGAGCGAAGTAAAGCCGAGCAGCGGTACGACCTTAGTTAAGCTGTAGAGCTACATTACGCCTTTGTTTTCACCACGCGGCATTTTGAAATGGTCTCAAAACGGATCTCTAATGGCTAGTGTCAGGTCCCACTCTTATCGGAATAGAAAAGCTAAAGACGTTAAAAGCCCACTTGAAGCTGCAAAACACATCGCGTGTTAGACGCGTCAGACACTGTACTGAAGCTAAAAGCACGGACGTAGATGGTATAAAACGTTTTATCATGCTTATTTTAACTGTCAAATTTCCTTGGCTTCAAGGTAAGTATCAAACAGAACAAATAACCTAATCCCTTGGGCTCATCGAAAATACTTGAGCAGTTGAGCACAGGAGCATTGGTTAATGGTTATGCTTAGTAGCTGTTAGATAGACCTAGACAGAACGAGAAAGAATAATTTTCTCCTTTTGATTAGAAGATCCTGCTGGGATAGGCTGAAGCTGAAGATGTAGGTCAATGCGCGTAGCACTATCCGTTTCGTGCAACCTTGTATAATCAAAGGCAGGCCGGTGCGGCAGCACTGGTATCTTTACCGGCGTCATCTACGACTCAGGACGTCCGGCGTATCACCCGGCATCTGCCTGGGTTGTCTGCTGTGCCGGTGGGACCGTTATAGGCACGACAAACCGGCAATATTCTTCTGGAATGTCAGTATTGCGACAATGAAATATTGCAACTGCGATGGAGCTCCTTGTCTAGATTGGGAACAGATGGGGCAAACTGGGAAGCACCAAAGCTTCTGATTAAATTGATAAGCTTTATGAAATCAGCACTCATTGTTTAAGTCGTTGGGAGACAGAGAAACATCACCACTAAATCATTTGCATATGCATTGCAAGATACATTTTAAGAGCACTACCACTGCTGTGCTGTAAGTAGGTACACGATAAAAGCGAAAATTCTCAAGTGCGGTTTATAGCGATAGATGTAAGACCAATGTGGGCATCGAGGCAAGCATCGTCATCGTAAGCGAGCAAGCCAAAGCGCATGTGTTTGATCGTAATCATTAAAATGATTCAATCCAATAGACAAAAAGTACATGTTAATGTATGACTACCTTCAATTATTAATCGTAGACTACGATAAAGCATATTGGTTCACTTGATTTTCTATTCAGCGGCTAATTGCTTCGCAGGCTTCTCTATGCTTTGCATCGACAGTCTGAATCAGATGGCACACATTGCTAACGAACCGTGAATGATTTCTCCGTTTTTGCGAGCATGGAGCAGTGAGACATTAGAGACAGTGTGAGCCATTTCTTTCCACTGTAAACGGAGTAGGATTTCGTCTCCCGGCTCTGAGACATCTCCCGGTCTCCGTCACCTGACGGAGACAGCCTGTCATCTTGATCCGACCCCGCAGCCGTGCAGTCGCCGTCAGGCACCCCCTTGAGCGTGGTCTGCCGCCCGCCGTGCATGCTGATGGCAGGGAAAGGACGAGCCGCCGGGAACCGGTGCTGGCTACAAAATTGCTCTACGGCCATGTGGCAAAGGGATTAGGATGGACAGTGGGCAAGTGGAAAAGTTCATTCGTAGGTTCTGGCGAAACCAATTCTTTTTCAGTGGTTTGGAATTGAGAATTGAAGCATTGCATTGGAAGTTATCTTGAAACTCAGGCCATATCATGTGTAACTATTGGTCACACTCGACCCCCTTGCCTCCCCCCCCCACCGTCATCCATACCTCTGACGGGTCTCGTTTGCCCCAGTTGCCGTGAAGCGCGTTCCAGTCGCGTTTATCTGCCGAGACAGCCTGCGGTTGTTCAGCCTCTGCCGATCCAGCGCGCACCGTCAACAGCAGCAGGCAGCTCCACGACAGCAGCAGACACGGAGTCCACATGGCTGCTCCGGCTGGAAAGACAAAAGAGTACAGATCGATCAGGCAGCTCCAAGACAGCAGCAGACATGTGTCCTCAAGGCTGCTCCGGCTGCAGACAAAGACACGGGGCAGATCGGTCATACAGCTCCAAGACAGGGGCAGACATTATTTCCGCTCATGACATGGAATGAGGACAGACTGGCTGTCATTCCGTTTCATGAAGGTGTCAATTGCATGGTACGCTGCCTTGACGTGCGTTTGTATTGCTATTCGTACGCTGTACAATGTTTTTGAAAGCATCTTTTTATTCTAGTTAATACAATTTTTAAAGTGAAATTGACTACCACCACCTGATAAGCAATTACACAGCAAAGTGAAACATCCTTCCAGGGCAGCAGCAGACACCCGGTTCCATATACGCGCATTGCCAATTGCCACACACGCATCACCCAAAGGAACAAAAGAGCGAGCCCATAGGTACACATCGATACGGCTACCTACCGATGTCCGATATCCATCGAACAGTCCCGATATTATCCTGCGCTCAGTAGCGGTCCGGCTCCGGGTGGAGGGCCGTACACCGTCCCAAACTATTGTTGCTTTTGTTTTTGGTGCTTTGTGGACCAGTGGTAGTAAGAACAATCTGTGTTTTCCATCAACCAGGCCTTTACATTGGGAAGCTTATAGAGCAAAACTTGGTATTTACCTTATAAGGAAACCTCGCTGTCGTTTGCAAAGTTTATTCGTAACTACATAAAGCTGACGGTATTATTAGCCTCGTAGTTTCTATGATACTGTGCTTCAAAAAGTGATGGGCTGTCATACTGATTGTGTTCCCGGCGCAGCGAACCTTATTTAGGTCCATGCTAGATGTTGTTTTGGCTTTCCTAGCAATAATAAGATCGCAAATATGTGAATAAGTTAGCAATGATGTGCTGCTCAGAGTTCTGAGCTTTCATTTTTTATTTCTACCACAATAAATATAACACATGGTGCTTTCTGTGCCTAGAGCATTTGCCGGCATAAATAATTATTCTGACACGTTTGCGATGCGCATATCGATGTAATGGGCACACGTTGCCATTTTTGCCTTATCGCCACCGAACAGTATGCGTTACGCGCAGACAAAACAAGCTAAGTTGGCCTTTAACCCTACTCCTGGCGGGGGGGGGGGGCCTCAGGAGCCCCCCCTGAGGTTTTTTGGTTATATCTCCCAAACGCGTTGAGCTAGGAAGCTCAAATTTTCTGACTTTTCCTAAAAGGCTTCTACGCAACATGTCTGAAAATTTTGAGTTGATCTGACCTCAGGTCAGGTCACCAGAGGCGGTTTGGTGACGCTACCTCAGAAAAGTTTGCAATCACGCCAGAGCTAGAGTTTTTGACCGATCAATTCCTTCTCTTTAGGGTTTAGTTAGGGTACCAGTATGTGCAATTTGTATATCTCGGAATTTTGATATCGGTGACCTAAGGTCAGGTCAATTTCGCGACCTCCCCATTATAAGTCAATGGGGGAAAAATCAACTCCCTGTTTTTACCACTAAAACGGGTCGGAATGGCCCCATATACCATACATGACTTCATATACGATCAACCTTCACTACCTTGAGGTCTGTTTTGCTGTTGGGCAGCTGTGAGGTCATGTGACGTCATCAAAGGTCACCAAAGGTTTTTGGCCAATAACTCCGTACAGGAACAAGATACAGACGCGTGGATGGTCTCATTGTGTTCAGCTCGTCAAGACGCATCGAATGATATACATGATGACCTCGAGGTCACGTGACCTGAGGTCAACCTTTGACCTTGACCTTCCGAGGTCAACATATATATCATTCGATGCGGATTGACGAGAGGATCACGATGATGCCCTTAGTTTGTTCCTATCTTGACTAATTCGAAAGTTATTCGAGAAAAACTCTCTCCATATCTAGTGCCGCCATTTTGACTTTTTCGACCCCTGTGACGTCATCTTTGACCTGACCTGAAAATGACCTTAGTAAAAATTGTAGATCTTGGCCGTGCGTATCCGATGCCGTTTACCGCTTGTCGCTATCTTGCTTCGTTCTCGAGATCTCAGGGGGGGCCGAATCGGCCCCCCCCCGCCAGTTTCTTGTCCCGGCGGAGCCCGCCAGGAATAGGGTTAAGCACTTCAGCTCTTCCGTTACAGCCAAACGAGAAGGATGCGCCAGTTAAACAAGCCCAACTCACACCGATTGCGTCATGTTTCCTGCTCTGTTTGGCTGGCCCACGCTAAATCGCAGCCATCAGTCACAGGCATAAAATGATGCCGCGTCAAGCACAGATAAATGTGCCCACATCTATCGGCTGGTTTTGCTGCTGGTCCCGGCAAATGGTTTTGCCACTGGCGTTTGTCGAAAGTGATGCACTGGTAAACTGGACTGCCTGCTTTGTTTGAAGGGCACTTAGTCGGTGTAGGTATTGTGTAAATGAACAGTGGACAGTGGTTAGTGGTGGTCAGCATTCATTAGTCAGTGTGGTCAGTGATCAGCTACATACTTAGTGGTCGTCGTGTCAATTAAAGTCCCTAACCCGCGACCTGGTGGGGGGGGGCTATTTTTTGCCCCCCCCCCTCCAGACTTTTCGATATATCTCCAGAACCACTGCGCCGATCGTCACCAAACTTTCAGTACCCTCCCGGACATCAATTTTACACATTGTGACCAAAAATTTTTTTCCAAAGGCTATGATAGGTTGGCCGGAAATGACGTCAGAGTGACGTCATGTTCTGCCGTTTTCGACCCAAAAAAGGGTTTCGCGGGAAGAGCTGTCAGGCCTATAGCTTTGCAAATACAGAAAAATGATAGAAATACGAAAGGTGTAAAATCGACAGGGCTACAAAACTGCTATCTCGGATTTTTTAAATTTTTGGATTTTGACCCCCAAAAATCAAAAAATAGATTTTTTGAATATAATAGCCGAAAAATCAAAAAAGTTTTTTGAATTTCGAAAAAACCGGAATATATGTGATAGTCCCTACCGCTTTCTATCTACATACCAAATTTGAGATCGATATCTCTTTTTTTGGCCAAGTTATAGCGAAAAAACTGTTCAAAATTGATGACGTCAAATTTTCAAACTCAATTTTCCGCAATTCTAGACCTCGTAGCGCAAAACAAAGACCACCGTTAGACTCCCCGTGACAAGCTGCATCGAATCAATACCCATTTTATGCAAAAATATCAACTTTGAAATTTGACCTTTTTTGACCTGACCTTGACCTGACCTCCACCAGAAAGTGACCTAAACCGTACCTGATGGTCTTATAACCAACACCATTGAGTTGGAAATGAAAAACTGGCCATAAAACATGCATCGCACAACCTTAGTAAAGTTGGGTTCATGTGGTGACCCTTGGTGACCTTTGGTGACCTGACCTGTGACCTGACCTGGTATGACCAGTGACCTCTAACAGCAACATATGTACTAGGCAACTGACGCCCTATCGCTGATTCTCGACAAAATGCGTTTTCCTCGGTGTTATAGCGCATTCCCTAGAAGACCCGTGAACGGTGAAACATTTCATCTTTGACCTGACCTGTGACGTCATCGGTGACCCCGAGGTCAATAAAATTTGGTTTCCTCCGACAAATTTGACAGGCCTTTCGAACGCCGTTTGAATTTTGCGGATCCGTCCAGTAGTTTCGGAGATACGAGGGGGGGGCAAAAATAGCCCCCCCCCCCACCAGGTCGCGTTATAAACAGCCCCCAGCAGGGCGCGGGCTAATACAGTTCTCACACCACCGTTTGGGAGTATTGACACCCGCCAGCCACGGGAAATACTAGAGAAGACACCATTGTACTGGAGACCCAACAAACTCAGCGGGCTTCGGTACATCGCTGAAACGAACTCAAACTTTCCTCCCTCCAAGTCCAAACCAATTGCTTTGCGGAGTGCTTGAAGAAAATTAGTTCAGAAGATTCATTCACAAACAGCATCGTGAACGTCGAGTGGTCACAAACTTGTACCGTCACTTTTATATAGTTGCATATGTACTTCCATTCTAAAGATAACATGTATATTTGGCGTATCACTCAAGCTCAATGCTCAGTACTCACTAAAGTAAAATCAGTCAACAAGGATAGATAAATCTCACAAATGCACTGTAAAAACCCATGTCAAAAACCAGCACCCTGTACCTGCTTATTTTAAGCAGGCTAACTGGGTGCTAAATTTTAGCACCCTTTTCGAAAAATAGCTCCCTGTGCCAGCTTATTTTAAGCGCCCTAAATGGTTGCAGCCATTTAGGGTGCTTAAAATAAGCCGGCACAGGGAGCTATTTTTCGAAAAGGGTGCTAAAATTCAGTACTAATTTAGCCTGCTTAAAATAAGCAGGTATAGGGTGCTGGTTTTTGACATGGGTGCTAAACTTTTTTTACAGTGTGTCTGCCTTGCGTCTCGTGTTATCTTGTCACAATCACATGGGGCTCACATTTACATTTGACCCGCACAGTGAGGTTAGATGACATGCAATCGGAGCAGTCATATGCCGCGCTGTATCATCGTCTTAGTGTTCCCGCGGTCCTTCTTTTCTGTCATTCTGGTCGCTGCTACCCGGGTTGGCTTGTCTGAGCGCCTCTCGTTTAGACTCGATCGGTATCGTTGTCTCTGTCACTACTTGAGTCACTTCGTCTCGTCTCAGTCTCCGTGCGGTCCGATCTGTCTCTGTCGCTGTTTGGATCCACCTGTCCCGACATTTCTGCCGCTGCCCCCGCGCGGGATCAGCAGTTCTGACATGTGTGTTACCGCCCACTCTGGTCTAGTCGCTGCTTGGATCCGCTTGCCACCGCGTCTCAGTAGCCGTTCGGGCTGGTCTCTCCTGTAGCTGCTTAGCTGCTTGAGTTCGCGTGCCCTCGCGTCTCCGTCGCCGGCTGCGGACCGGCCATTCTGACGTCTCTCTCACTGCCCGGTCTGGTCTGTCAGTCTCTGCCGGGGCTTTCTGTAGTCACTGCTTGGGTCCGTGTGCCCTCGCGTCTCTGTCGCCGGCTGTGGGTCGGCCGCTCTGACGTCTCTGTC